CGAGGCTGCCAGAGCTCCAGGAGCATCCAGGGATGCCCAGGCTGGGCTTGTTGGGGGGTCTGGGCAGGGCAGGGGGGCACTGGGGGATCCCTGGGGGTTCACTCCAGCTCAGGATATTCTGGGATTCTCTGATTGGAAAAGACAAGCAGCCTGTGCTGGCCGTGCCCTGGAGCAGTCACAAGATGGAGTGTTTGCTAGGTCATACTGGAGCTTCACTGAGATCTAATTTGAGAGAAGAATTAAGAGAAATAACAGGTCCATTTCCAATGGGATTTATAAAACATGGAGGAAAGAGTGCCCTCTGTGATCTGGACCAAACTGTGTTCCTCAGATCCTGCAGTATGACATGTGGAATGTCACCCCCTCTGACCTTTGGGACTGGAAGGCTTTGAAGGAGAAGATTGCCAAGTGAGTAACCCTGTGCAGTTTGTGGGAGATGTCAGATGAAACCCAGACTGGGTTGGGAGGGACCTCAGAGCCCACCCAGTGTCCCCCTGCCATGGCAGGGACACCTCCCACTGTCCCAGCTGCTCCCAGCCCCAGTGTCCAGCCTGGTTTTCATATGAGTCTGGTGTGTTCTGTCTGCTAAAGGCAGGGTCCAAGTGTGACAACAGCCCCCACCAGCAGATCTTTCCTCTGAGCTGTTTTTTGGGTGGCTTTCTCTCATTTTTGTCCTTCCAAGGCTGAGGAGCCCACCCTCACTGCTCTGCCTTAGCTGCCCTCTAATTCCATTTTGGATGCATCCAGCAGGAAGATTTGTGTTCCCATTAAATGAGTAGTGAGGAATGAGCCATGAGCTGGCCCTGGGGGCTCTTCCCTGCTGCCAGGGAGAAGCTGAGCCTTGAACATCCTGAAGACAGGAATCACTGAGGTGTGGAGTGCCTGGCAGGGTCCAATGCTGTCTTTTTTTGCTCCAATTTTTAAATGTGGTAAATCTGTCTCCTGTCCTGTGTGTGGAGAAGTTTCAGCCTCTTTGTGGGCTGCTGGTTCAGCTCTGCCTCAGGGCTGTGGATTGTGCAGTGCCTGGCAGATTGTCTCTCCTACCCCCCATGCCATGACTGAATCATTTGGGAAAGCCTCTGATGAAGGATGGGAAGAGCAAAGCCCCTGATTCCACCTCCCCTTGAGCCACAGTGCCACTTCAGTGGTGCTTCCCTTTCCCTGGGAGCCGTGTGAGGCTTTGCAGGTTTCCCACTGCTCTTTCCTGTCCTGCCTCCCTAACCTGGCGTGTTGTCCCCAGGTACGGTGTCAGGAACAGCCTCCTCATTTCCCCCATGCCAACAGCCTCCACTGCCCAGATCCTGGGCAACAACGAGTCCATCGAGCCCTACACCAGCAACATCTACACACGCAGGGTGCTCTCGGGGGAGTTCCAGGTGAGCTCTGGGGACAGCTGTGCCATTTCCTGCCCTTTGTGACTGAGGAAGACAAGGGGAGCCCTGACACCTGGGGGCTCAGTTCAGCTGGGTGTTTGTGTCCAGGCTCCAAGGGGAGCACTGGGTGCTGCAGGAGTGCAGCTCCGTGTGTTCCACAGTCACCGTGGGATTGGTGAAATCAAACAAGTGCTGCTTTTGTCTGGGAAGATCCTTCGTGGGGGCTCGAGTGGGCTGCAGGAATAACTGCTGAGGGGGTTGGTGATGTGATGGAAGGGACATGGGAAGAGTTGAGGCCATGGTCTTGAGAACAAAGCACTCAGGGGTCTGGAGGGGCCAGGGAAGAGCTCCACAGGCTCCAAGGGGTTGGTCACATAGGAAAGGGAGTGAAACAAGTTCTGGAGGCTGCAGTGAGCAAAGACCCCTCTGGACACAAGGGGAGGCTGTCCCTGTTTGTTTGGGAGGTGTGTCCATCCCCTCTGGGGTGTCCCAGTGCTCTCCATTCCTCCTGGCTGCAGGGTCACCCCAGACAGGAGGATCACTGCCCTGCCTCCCTGTGCAGGGCTGGGGACAGGGACCCCAGTCCCAGCTGGCAAAGGTGGCTGTGTTTTCTTCCCAGTTCTCAGCCTGCCCCTGCTCTGTTCTTTCCCCTCCTGACATCAGTCTTGATTGTTTACACCCTTGGTTAGGAACTCGGGTTGTGGCCAGTGCCCCTGAAACAGCAAGATCTCTCCTTTTCCCATCTCTTGGAGTTCCTCATGCAGGGCAGTTCCCTACAGCCCCCTTTCTAATTTGCCATGCCCAGCAGGATCCCAGGATGGTTTGGAGGAACCTTAAAGATGGTGTAGTGGCAGCTCCTGCCATGGGCAGGGACACCTTCCACTGTCCCAGGCTGCTCCCAGCCCCATCCAGCCTGGGACACTTCCAGGGGACAGTCTGTCAGGAATGAGCAGGATCTTGTTCAACCATTTAAAAACCTTTGGCTTCTCCCCCTCCCAGGTTGTGAATCCCCACCTGCTGAAGGATCTCACAGAGAGGGGCCTGTGGAACGAGGAGATGAAGAACCAGATCATCGCCCACAACGGCTCCATCCAGGTACAGGGGGAGCAGGGCAGGGACTCCTGCCAGGCAGGTCCTGCTCCCTCGGGAGCCCCACTTTTCAGGAAGGTGGTAAAGGGGTGATTAGGTAACATCCTGAGCTGGAAGGGACCCATCCAGTGCCCCCCTGCCCTGCCCAGACCCCCCAACAAGCTCAGCCTGGGCATCCCTGGATGCTCCTGGAGCTCTGGCAGCCTCGGGGCCGTGCCCGTTCCCTGGGGAGCCTGGGCAGTGCCAGCAGCCTGTGGGGAAAGAAGAGCCTTGCCCTGATCTCCAGTACATGGATTCATGTAACTGCTATGGGGGAGCAGAGGGTGTTTGCAGACACAGGATGTCCAGAGGAGGCCACCAAGTTATCAGAGGGATGGAGCACCTCTCCTGGAAGGCTGAGAGATTTGGGATTGTTCAGCCTGGAGAAGAGAAGACCTCATTTTGGCCTTCCAGGACCTAAAGGAGCCCCAGGAAACATGGAGAGAGACCATTCCCAAAGGATGCAGGGCCAGGAGCCAGGGAATGGCTGCCAGGGGCAGAGGGCAGGGCTGCATCTTGGGATCTTGGGCAGGAATTGTTCCCTGGCAGG